AAAAAAGAATTGTTGCTCTACATAAAGATGGCGTAGGCTATAAGAAGATTGCCAAGACCCTGAAACTGAGCTGCAGTACGGTGGCCAAGACCATACAGCGGTTTAACAGGACAGGTTCCACTCAGAACAGGCCTCGCCATGGTCGACCAAAGAAGACCACTGTGAGATACTGTATATATTAAGTACTTTCCATTGAACATATCTGAATTGGATCTGTTTAACGGGCCTAGAAAAGCACAATAAAAGAAAAGTAATAAATATTGTTATATAAGTTTGTTATATTTGTACTATAACAATAAGCAACAAAAAATGTTATAGAAAACAATAAAAAGTTTTGTGATAGAGTATTACAAATTATAAATGATTTAAAAGTAGACTGAAAGTTCAATTTTGCAGAATCTGTGCTACTTTGTCTTTGTCAGAAAAAGGGGGCAAGTTTTCTTTACAAAAGAAGCTTTTCTTGTTTTTCTTTTAATGCATGTGTACATAGACTTCATGTGTACAAAACATCAGACATGCTTTACACTTAGGAATTTAATTTAATTCTACTTTAGATAATGTACAATGCAATAAATACTTAGTAATTATAAGCCATAATAATAATACCAGCCTTTTTATGATTTTAGCTTGCTATTTTTGTTGATCTGTATCTTTAAAATCATCACCCTGTTAAACTGAAATTATATGACATCTATCGATATTTTTATTTTTTGTGATAAACTGATCACTCTTCTCAGGTGGCAGTGTTGAAACCAGATGGTAAGACCCTGGAGACGGGGTCATGGACCAGAGCTGACTCTGGGAGTGAGGGCTCATCCTTGCAGCCTCAAAAGATTGTCACATTCCATGTGTCAGAGAACGGGGACACTCTGGTGCAGGAGGCGTTTGAGACAGCTACAGGGACCGTGGAGCAAGAGGAGACAACGGATGTGTCGCAAGAGGTGACACAGATTGGCATCGGTATATACGAGGGAGCAGATTTCAGTGTGGTGGAGCAGGCCTCCGAAGAGACCGCACACAGGTACTACTGAATGTCAAAAACAGCTGGTGTAATGTCTTTTAATGTCATATAAATCTTTTAAGATGATGCATGTGTTTGGCAGCAGTTTAGAGGAACCCTCAGCAGAGCCTCAGGTCATGGAAGTGAGCACTGAGCCCTTGTCCATCTCTACGCCTCTCAAAGAGAATAAAGAGAGGTTTTATTTGAGTTCAGGCTTGACAGATGGAGTTCTACAGCAGGTAGAGGTGAGACTCGGTTTTGTTACTTCACAGATCGAATAACCAACTGTGTTCCTTCCCAATGGAAAGATTACTTGACAGAATTCTCCTCCTGCAGCTAAGCAGTGAAACTCCAGGTTCCCCTCCTCTGTGTCCATCACCCCCTTCTCAACAGCTCAACACCAAACGCTTCTCCTGCCGCATCTGCATGGAGGCTTTCCACGGCCGCTCGGACATGGAGAACCACAAGAGGGCGCACATAGACCCCAAAACATTCAAATGCCCCGACTGTGACTTTACAGCACCTTCTTGGCCAGAAGTCAAGGTGTGTTGGTCATATGGTTTGAGTTTTAATTCAGTATCTATGACTTTTTCTGACCTCTACAAAACCTTTTTTTGTTGTGTTAAATGGTTTTTGTAATATATCTGTTTTTATAATCCTAGTCTCACATGGCCATGCATGCATATTTGAGGCCTCATAAATGTGTGTGTGTGTGTGTGTGTGTGTGTGATCATCAAACACATTCAAGACCTTCAGTTGTATGCTGAATGCCCTCTTCTGCCCTGTATTTTCTCAGGTCCAGTATATCATCTCTCAGGATGGAGTTCAGCATCTGCTCCCACGGGAATATGTGGTGCTATCTGAAGGAAACCACATTCAGGTTAGTATGTGCTCTTTCCATCATTCATAACCCCCCTTGGGAATTCCAGAATTCCTCATGGTTGTTGATGAACAGTTCTCTAATGGCTGGGAACAGACTCACCTGATCTGTTGCTGCAGCCTGAAACGCATTTTCATTATCATTTGTGGTCTGTAGGACGCTATATTTCATCATTATGACAAAAATAATTCTGATTGTGAATTGCAGATGGAGGATGGGCGGATCGCTCACATTCAGTATGAGCATGACGGGACGTTTCTGCAGGAGCAACAGGTTGAACCCAGAACTGATTACACATGTTTTTTTATATTACAGGTTATATTGCACTGCATTAAAGTTGTGTTTGAAGTACAGTAATTACAGCATGATAACTTTGATACTTTGAGCTGTTCATGTCTTCCTACTGGATTCTAAGGGACATAATGCTAAATGGCTCAATATGCAACTTTGTTGTCAATGACAGCATATGAAGCCTGAAATGCTGTTTTAATAAAGTGACATCACTCAGGAACATAATACCATTGAAAAGTTTTATGTTGGTAGGAAATTTTAATGTTTCTATGCTCCCTAAAGCTGCATTTATTTGATCAAAAATAGACAGTAATACTAATTTTATATATTTTATAAAATATATTTTATTATATTTTAAAATGTAATTTATTCCTGTAATGGTAGCTGAATTTTCAGTAGTCATTACTAAAGTCTTCAGTTTCACATGATCCTTCAAAAATCATTCTAATATGCTGATTTGCTGCTCAAGAAATTAATATTAATAATAATGTCTTATTATCAGTATTGAAAATAGTGCTTAATAGTTTTGTAGGAAACACACATTTTTTTCAGTATTCTTTGATAAATAGAAAGTTGAAATAGTAATCTTTTTTTAAAGCAGCACTATGTAACTTTTTCTGTGTTCAAAATTTGCAAATTGTATATAATGAGCGAGTACATCATGAATTCATCTTCCAAACCGCGTTTTTGTCTTATTCCGAATCACTACGGTACACTTATAATAAGTACTTATATTTGGACTATTGTAGCCTGGTCGGGTCCTCACCGCTGCGGAGTAACACATACCTGCGTGAATCGCCATAGACATAAACTCAGAGAAGCAGCTCCGGTTGGAATGTTCTTCCGCGGGATTTGTGCAGTTCTGTTTATTAACCGCTAGAGCGCCAAAAGTTACATAGTGCTGCTTTAACAATGTAATAGTCTTAACTGTCACTTTTGATCAGTTTAATGCACCATTCATTTGGATCATTGATTTCTTAAAAAAAAAAAAAGACCTCAAACTTTTTTTCAACATTACCTAACTGGCTTTAACAGTGAAAATGAATGTGATGCGTAATGTGTTGATTTAATCTGATTCATGAGTAAATCTCTTCTGTGTTGTGTGCCAGATTGCTCTGTCTCAGGATGGACAGATCCAGTACGTCCCCATCACTGCCGAGCAGCAGGTTGTCGCCCCTGAGGACCTGGAGGCAGCCGCCCATTCTGCTGTCACTGGTATGACATTACACCTTCACATTACCTAGGAGTTTTCTTCACTCAAAAACCAAGAACAGAAAGTTTTAATACTACAACCTTCTGGTGACGTTTAAGAGAATCAGAGATGATGTAAGTGATGTGTGTTTGTGTGCGTGTAGCTGTTGCAGATGCAGCCATGGCTCAGGCTCAGACGGTTTACACCGAGGCCACACCTGAACAACTGGAGCAGCTGCAGCAGCAGGGCATCCAGTATGACGTCATCACTTTTACTGAGGAGTAGAAACAAGACACACACACACACACACACACAGATCATCTCAGGCTTGTCTCAGATGACTGCAGTGGACACTGCAAACTCTGACGATCACAAGTAACAGTTGTCTTCTTCCTGAGTTATTCAGTAAGAGGGTGAATGTAGTTAGATCCTCTCTGAAAATTATACGACTCATGCCTTTGTAAATATTTAAAGCAATTTATCTTTGTGTGCCTACTGTGTTTTGCCTTGTAAAGAAAAAGAAACACAAAAGCCAAGAGCTGCCTGTATAGAAAATCCCTGTATTTAATTCTACGTGTCGCTGTGATGTACTACGATGGATGCTACTTCAGTGAGTGTGTAAACAGTAGACTGGAGGATTGATGTCACATTGTTATGAAACCGTTCTTAGCTGTAGCTGAAGTGCTGTGTAAAGGAGGGTTGATTATTTGTTTTCATTTTACGTGAAACGTACCGTTTCATCATTAGCTTCTTAAGTTTTAGAGATTTGTTTTTCTTTCAGATGGCTACAGAAATGAACTTAAAATGCATACCAAATAAATCACAACCTCTTTATCTGAACTGATTGTTGGTTTTCTTGAAGTCATCATGCTACAGTTCAGGTTTGACAAAGCTGTTGGACATGATAATAGGGAATGGAGTGTAATAGAATATGAAAACATGTAACATTAATTGCATGTGTACATTATTAAGACATCTTGCTGATTTTTCAAGAAGACATGAATACCAAGCTGTGTCAGGTTAGAAGAAATTTAGATGAACTTGTGATCAAATCAAAGTGTTAATGTTGTCTTCATCTCTTCTGCATTTGCATCTGCTTTTATGCTCCGTACCAAAGATCAGGTCCATCCCAATTAAAAGGTGGGTTTTTGTTCACTTGGTTGTGACATCAGCTTTAAAATTGAATATATCTTTGCAGAGATATGGTTAATAGGCTAATGTGTAATGTTGTGGTCTGTCATTGTATTTGCTCAGTTTCCACTGAATGTTCATTACAGTAAATGCAATTTTCATTTGTTTTACAGACCGAGGGTGGAGTTGATGTGACTTTCTATTGTATTTGATCATTTTGCAGATATAAGTATTAAATTTAACCCTGGATATTTATTTAACAGTGAATGATAAATCTTCTGTAGATGAGACCTTTGCAATTTCCAAAATATCATTTTTTTTTGTTAAGTGCTTGATTACCAACAAATACATTTTAACAACACCATCTGACAGCGAAACAAGGTGAGATTTCCTGTTAATTTATTTTCTCAGGTGTTCATCATGGTCTGGTATTTCAATAGTTTGTTCCTTAATTTGAAAAGAGATTAAAACAAAATGTTCAAAAGAGCCAGTCCAACTTTTTGGGAACATTTAGATCAAAGGGAAATATTAGATGGAAATTAATTTTCTTTCTTCTTGTTCTATTGAATAACAGTGAGAATGGTTCTTGTTTTTTATTTTTTTATTTGATGAAAATTATGAAGTAAAATCTGCCATTAGACTGAAAACATTTCTAGTACTGTATGTTTTTCTATATTTAAAATAAATACCAGGATTGTTGTAGATAAATTATAAAAATGTTTATGAATTAACCTTAATTGTTTTACTTGTACTTAAGTAGCTGTACTAAATGTACCTTTATCAATAATAAAATAATTTTATAATTATCATAATAATACTACAAATGAAATGATGTCAAGCAGCAGTAAACAATTGGATTGTCTATAATCTCTATTTTTAAGAGATATTAATGTTCAGTGAATGTTTTTCAGGAATGAATCCAACAGCAGGGCTCTGTTTGCTTTATTCATCAGAGGAAATTATTTTAAAATATTTCTTTCAATCATATTGTAATAGTTATGAAAAAGCTTGCTGCATGTTTGATCAGTCGGAGTGCTTCCTCTTAATAATAGAGGACAAGTTGCCTCCCTGTATAGAGGAAGAATATTCATCACTAATTATGATGGAGAATTTGAAGTAAAAATGACGAACCTGAGCATAATGGATGCTGGCAGATACAGATGTGGTGTCAGAGGCTTCCCTGCCACCTATCAAGATGTTCAAGTTACAGTTTCTGGTAAGACTTGGAACCACTTCTAAATTAAAGCTTCTGCGTTCATTGATTAATCATTCGGAAATCTGAAGCATCATAAATGAGAAACAGTACTATCTGTCTTATATGCTATGTGTTGGTCATGCTCATTTGGAGCTTGTATTCTTATAATTGTTAAATAATAAATTGTGAAAAATATTATATTCTTCATTAAAAGGCTCAGTGGCATAAACAAACCTCCCCTACCAACAAAGTTGCCCATTAAACCAGCAGTCTGGACCCCTTACAGCCGTCGTTTTTGAGAACGACACAAGAGAAACTCACATAGCTTATATGAAGCCCTTAAAACTGCAACTCTTCAAGGGACGGGTCACCCAAAAATTCTCATCCTTATGTTGTTCCATGACTCACTTTCTTCTGCAGAACACAAAAGAAGATATTTTGAAGAATGTTGGGGTCCAAATAGTAAAAAATAAAATAAGAAATAATTCATTCTAAATTATTCTAATTTTCTTTTGCGTTCCGCAGACGAAAGACAGTCAAACAGGTGTAGAATGACATTAGGTAGAGTAAATGACGATTTTGGATGAATTTCCTCTTAATATTCATTAACCTCTTTAACATAACATGTTAATCAGTGACAGCTGGAGAACATCCTACAAGCTAGCTGCTGTTCTCAGTAGTGTGGTGTTTGCTGTCGTCTCTGCGACACTGCTTGTGTTTCTTCTAAAGACTTGGAAGAAGAAATCCACAGGTTGGTAGAACCAAAATGCTCAGCAAATTTGAATATAATGTGACCGATTCTTAAATCTAATGAATGAACATAATATATGATTTTCACACTCAGGTAAATATGGAACTTGCTGTCCTCTCGACACCATTGTGGTAAGCGGTTTATGCATCTGAAAGAGGCACAGTGAAATCACTGAGGTACAGCTTCTGCTTCCGTTTTACAAGAATCACTATAAACAGGTTCAAAACCCTCAGTCAGATGGACTCATGATCAAATCCCAGTCTGACAGTATTTGTCTCCATCTCTTCTTCTGTCTTCCATTGCCCAGGTCCAGTATGTGAGTTCAACGTTTACATCTTGTGATGCACTCTCAAGGCAACCACGTTCAGGTTACACTTTAAAAAATGCTTCTTCAATTAGTTATAACCACTTAAAATTTATTGAGGTAACTATCCAGCTTAACTAAAGTTAACTAAACTTTTAATTTTAATTTCAAGCATGAACACTGACTTTTTTGTAGTTAAAATGATAGGATAACTCATCTTTTTTAGCATGTGCTATTTGGCACAGTGTATCCGTAACCACAATTTCTGCTGAATGTTTTCCTTCATAATTCTGCAGGAACTGTAGATGTAAATTGTGTAGCTTAATAGTATAGTGCTATTTTGTCTTTTTCTTTCATTACAAACACTATAGGTGACTTACTGTAAAAAAAAAATGTAGTCTAGTAGTAATTACCAATTATATTGTGATTCCTGTTTGAAATGTTCTGTAACAGCAGTTTGAAAAACATTTACTGTTTCACTCTTGGCCTGTATGTTACAGCTTCATCAATGAAACAATATAAATTGTAACTGTGATTTTCTTCTCACAATGACTATGAGAATGATGATTCTGCATGCAGCAGGTTGGACATAGAAAAACACAAGAAAACAAACACTATAGGTGACTTACTGTAAAAAAAAAAAATGTAGTCTAGTAGTAATTACCAATTATAATGGGATTCCTGTTTGAAATGTTCTGTAACAGCAGTTTGAAAAACATTTACTGTTTCACTCTTGGCCTGTATGTTACAGCTTCATCAATGAAACAATATAAATTGTAACTGTGATTTTCTTCTCACAATGACTATGAGAATGATGATTCTGCATGCAGCAGGTTGGACATAGAAAAACACAAGAAAACATTTTTAAATCTCTTCTTTGTCAGTTTCTTGATTGATAGAGACAGTAGCCTGTGTCTCACTCTCAGAAAAAAAGGTACAACAGCTGTCACTGGGGCGGTACCTTTTCAAAAGGTACACTTTTGTATAAATACCAGGATTGTTGTAGATAAATTATAAAAATGTTTATGAATTAACCTTAATTGTTTTACTTGTACTTAAGTAGCTGTACTAAATGTACCTTTATCAATAATAAAATAATTTTATAATTATCATAATAATACTACAAATGAAATGATGTCAAGCAGCAGTAAACAATTGGATTGTCTATAATCTCTATTTTTAAGAGATATTAATGTTCAGTGAATGTTTTTCAGGAATGAATCCAACAGCAGGGCTCTGTTTGCTTTATTCATCAGAGGAAATTATTTTAAAATATTTCTTTCAATCATATTGTAATAGTTATGAAAAAGCTTGCTGCATGTTTGATCAGTCGGAGTGCTTCCTCTTAATAATAGAGGACAAGTTGCCTCCCTGTATAGAGGAAGAATATTCATCACTAATTATGATGGAGAATTTGAAGTAAAAATGACGAACCTGAGCATAATGGATGCTGGCAGATACAGATGTGGTGTCAGAGGCTTCCCTGCCACCTATCAAGATGTTCAAGTTACAGTTTCTGGTAAGACTTGGAACCACTTCTAAATTAAAGCTTCTGCGTTCATTGATTAATCATTCGGAAATCTGAAGCATCATAAATGAGAAACAGTACTATCTGTCTTATATGCTATGTGTTGGTCATGCTCATTTGGAGCTTGTATTCTTATAATTGTTAAATAATAAATTGTGAAAAATATTATATTCTTCATTAAAAGGCTCAGTGGCATAAACAAACCTCCCCTACCAACAAAGTTGCCCATTAAACCAGCAGTCTGGACCCCTTACAGCCGTCGTTTTTGAGAACGACACAAGAGAAACTCACATAGCTTATATGAAGCCCTTAAAACTGCAACTCTTCAAGGGACGGGTCACCCAAAAATTCTCATCCTTATGTTGTTCCATGACTCACTTTCTTCTGCAGAACACAAAAGAAGATATTTTGAAGAATGTTGGGGTCCAAATAGTAAAAAATAAAATAAGAAATAATTCATTCTAAATTATTCTAATTTTCTTTTGCGTTCCGCAGACGAAAGACAGTCAAACAGGTGTAGAATGACATTAGGTAGAGTAAATGACGATTTTGGATGAATTTCCTCTTAATATTCATTAACCTCTTTAACATAACATGTTAATCAGTGACAGCTGGAGAACATCCTACAAGCTAGCTGCTGTTCTCAGTAGTGTGGTGTTTGCTGTCGTCTCTGCGACACTGCTTGTGTTTCTTCTAAAGACTTGGAAGAAGAAATCCACAGGTTGGTAGAACCAAAATGCTCAGCAAATTTGAATATAATGTGACCGATTCTTAAATCTAATGAATGAACATAATATATGATTTTCACACTCAGGTAAATATGGAACTTGCTGTCCTCTCGACACCATTGTGGTAAGCGGTTTATGCATCTGAAAGAGGCACAGTGAAATCACTGAGGTACAGCTTCTGCTTCCGTTTTACAAGAATCACTATAAACAGGTTCAAAACCCTCAGTCAGATGGACTCATGATCAAATCCCAGTCTGACAGTATTTGTCTCCATCTCTTCTTCTGTCTTCCATTGCCCAGGTCCAGTATGTGAGTTCAACGTTTACATCTTGTGATGCACTCTCAAGGCAACCACGTTCAGGTTACACTTTAAAAAATGCTTCTTCAATTAGTTATAACCACTTAAAATTTATTGAGGTAACTATCCAGCTTAACTAAAGTTAACTAAACTTTTAATTTTAATTTCAAGCATGAACACTGACTTTTTTGTAGTTAAAATGATAGGATAACTCATCTTTTTTAGCATGTGCTATTTGGCACAGTGTATCCGTAACCACAATTTCTGCTGAATGTTTTCCTTCATAATTCTGCAGGAACTGTAGATGTAAATTGTGTAGCTTAATAGTATAGTGCTATTTTGTCTTTTTCTTTCATTACAAACACTATAGGTGACTTACTGTAAAAAAAAAAAATGTAGTCTAGTAGTAATTACCAATTATAATGGGATTCCTGTTTGAAATGTTCTGTAACAGCAGTTTGAAAAACATTTACTGTTTCACTCTTGGCCTGTATGTTACAGCTTCATCAATGAAACAATATAAATTGTAACTGTGATTTTCTTCTCACAATGACTATGAGAATGATGATTCTGCATGCAGCAGGTTGGACATAGAAAAACACAAGAAAACATTTTTAAATCTCTTCTTTGTCAGTTTCTTGATTGATAGAGACAGTAGCCTGTGTCTCACTCTCAGAAAAAAAGGTACAACAGCTGTCACTGGGGCGGTACCTTTTCAAAAGGTACACTTTTGTACATTTTAGGTACTAATATGTACACTTTAGGTACTAATATATACCTTTAAGGTACCATTATGGACTCTTTTGGTACAAAGGTGTGCCTTTTGAAAAGGTACCGCCCCAGTGACAACTTTTGTACCTTTTTTCTGAGAGTGTATTATCATCAAACTAGTATGGCCTTTAACCATTTACCCAATAAAGTTGATCCCTTAAATGTTCAGTCACCAGAATATTCAGTTCTATAACATTCTCAAATGCTTGAATGATAACTGAGGGATGAAAACAACTGACACGTAGAGACCAGAGGTGATGTAAATCAAAGAAGGAAAAAATCTGTGAATGAATGAATGAATGAATGAATACGTTTGACATTTTACAGACAGATTTGACAGACTGTTTCTAATGACAGATACAAAAAAGTTATTGTCAAGACCAGAGGTGATGTAAATCAAAGAAGGAAAAATCTGTGAATGAATGAATGAATGAATGAATGAATACGTTTGACATTTTACAGACAGATTTGACAGACTGTTTCTAATGACAGATACAAAAAAGTTATTGTCAGCTTTATAGAAAATAAGTATTTGACACAATTTATTTATATTTTCCACTGTATAAATGAGACATTATTCATTCAAATATATAGCTGTAGGCTATATATATATAGCTTAGAGGTAGCATGGCAACCTGTGATGTAAATGATGATTATATGTGTTTATCTGACAGAATTAGCAAGACTTTAGAGGCCACTGCTTTGCTACTTTAAGCAGCACAACCAAAACACACCAATTGTGAGAATGTATTTAACAATATTTTGTGACAATCTGCGCTGTAGCTAAATTGTTCATGACAATTTATCATTTGTTCTCATTTAATGCAAGCATCACGTATTGTAATTTGGTGGTGTGATTGAGGGCATGATGGAGAACTTGAACTCGACTGGCATTCTACACTCTTAAAAATAAAGGTGCTTCACGATGCCATAGAAGAACCTTTTTGTCTAAATGGTTCCATAAAGAACCTTTAACATCTGAAGAACCTTTCTGTTTCCCAAAAGGTTCTTTGTGGCGAAATAAGGTTCTTCAGATTACAAAAACGCAAGAAAGAGATGGTTCTTTAAAGAACCTTTGACTGAATGGTTCTTTGTGGAACCAAAAATTGTTCTTCTATGGCATCGCTTGAAGAACCTTTTGAAGCACCTTGAGTGTAAGTTCAGACATACACTGCTTATGATGAACAAAGGTCTTTCAAACTCTATTCAAGCCCAACAGACAATTTAAAAGTAACATTTCTACTTATCATGACGATAGAAGACTTCGTTTTTATATATACAACTTTGATGTGGTTGACCTATAAGGACATAGAAACACACAGGATGACAACTTGTTATGCAATAATTATAATGGCAATAATTTTATTTTGGATGAACAGAGAAAGTTTCAGGTATGCAACTGTAGTTAGATGTTGAAAATCAGTGAAAACCAGATTTTGCAATCCTGTACTTCTTTATATAGTAGCAGTTAGACCCATCAAAATCCAGCAATAGTCTTTGAGCGAGGCAACATGAACATGTGGTGACGCATGTCGTGTGTAATGCATTATGTTAGTATTGAATAGGATTTAAGGGACACTGGGTTAATCAAGGCCACTCAAATGAATCAAGACTAGGTCTACCACCTTCCACAAACCATACCAATAAATTCTGCAATGTCATTTTATGGCACCCTTGCTTTGTCTTCATCCAGGTCCTAGGCAGTGTGTTGACCTGTCCATAGCAGGTCTCAGAGGTGAAGAGAATCCATTGCATTCACTGCAGCGTTTAGAGGAACAGTCTTTCATTTTATTATTATTGCAAATTCTCTGAACTGAAACTCAGATTGAACCGGTCATACAGAAGTGTTAGAGACTGTTAAACAGAAGTGAAACTTAAAAAAGGGCAGTCATATAGTCATATTTTCTTTATAAATCTTTAAATAGAAAATTACCGTGACTGTTGTGTGCACCAAGTGATATGTTTAGTTAGCCTGCTAATTTAATATTGACCACCATTCTCAAAATCAAACTGGTGATTATTCAAGGTTGGTTTACAAACAGTTGTGTTTATATTTTATTTTATTATTGTATTTAAATTTTTTGTATAGAACTTTTCAAAATTAATTTGTAATATTACAATAGTATGGCATTTTATGGCATTTCTACAGTTATTTTGGTGTCTTTACTGGACAAATATAGTAATCATAATATTTTTTTATATAAGCATCAGATATTTAACATGAAACGTGTTTGTTTCACATACACACACCCAGCATATACTCACACAGTGAGAAAAGCACAAAGACCACTCAGACTGATAATAATTTAATTACCATAATTAAGCTTTCAACAAATTCACAGCATACTGAAGAAAATATGATTCCCGACTAAGCACATTCCTTACAAGATGTCTGTTTGCATGTGTTCTCACGTAAAGGTGATGAAACTAACTTTGTTTTTTACTATCAAGTGTAGTGGATGCCAAGGTAAACCAGTGATTCTGAGGTAGACCTTGTGCCACGGTGGATAATGTATGTCAGCGTTTCTGGGACAGCTGGATAACAGCATTTTTGTAGTGCAAAGTGCATGAGAGTGAAAAATGAACATGACCAGAATGGTGCTATGGCACTTGTTATTAATCTTCTTGTGCTGTTCCTTTTCAAGTATTCCCCACCTTCATTTGTCTCTTTCTCACATGTTTCCAGTGTTAAAAGTCTATGTTTTTGAAGTCGCTGGTACAGCGATATCTGTTGTCGCTGTACCTGGTGCAGACCAGATGTGGCAGGCAGGGGCAAGTGTGATGTTGTCTCTTGCCAGGGAAGGGAACCTGGAATTGGAAATGGACTTTTAGATCAGCAATGCATAGATTATGAAAACATAAATTGTGAATTATTTACATTTTGTGTGTATATTTTTAAGTCTGCCAGCTGTAAAGATATCATTTTACTTCAATCTTTTCAGCCGTTAGATTAGCTAATCAAGATACATTACAAAACTCTATAGGCTTAGGTTTCTGTTTAAGGATCTTGTCAGTTTTACTAATCATCAATGAGTCACAGACACCCTCCAAATCCGTTTCTCTTCACCATGTAACCTCAGCTGAATGGCAAAGCTTCTGTATCTCCGTATCAGTCTGAGACTGTCCGACAGAGTGATAAACAGCCCATCTGTGAGACATTCGATCGATATCAGTTACTCTTATCAGCAGATTCTTTTAAAGCCTTTCTCACTCATCTCTGGCAGTCACCCATGTTTACTCCACGATCCGATCAGCTGTTTAAAATGAGATTGCAAACTTGTTTCCAATGTGTTTCTTTTTTTAAGTTAAAAGCAAACAGCTCCCAATGACGAAAAGAACGAAACTCATACAGGTTGGGAACAACTTGAGGCTGGGTAAATTATTTTAATTTTTGGGTAAACTATCCCTTTAAGAGTTCTTTGACCGTCTGTATAAGCTGTATTGTCCGGTCTGACTAGTCTAAGATAAAATTGTCTTTCTCTTTTGATCTTTAATCTCTGTGTATCTCCTGGTTTCTATTTTTTTCTTTCAGTTCTTATAACAGTTAGGCCTGGGTTGCCTCAGGTCAGCCAGTCAAATCACTGCTTTCCTATTCCAGAGGGGCTGTGTGTATCTGTATACCTTGTGGCTGTACGGGTGGCATTCGTCTCCTTCCAGCCCCTGTGGTGTGCACATACGCAGGCCCCTGAGCCACAGACTCACAGCACAGCACAGACCCACACCACACTGCACATCCCTGTCACATGCCTGACACACAAACACAACACAACATCAGTCACTTACGGTATGGCATTCATTCAGTGCATATAAGATCTTGCCCTGCATGGCTTTGTTAAAGTCTTTGTTAAGGTTAATTTGTACTAATGATAGAGTATTTGCTTTTTTAATGTATCTACGTTACCCCATGCCAAGAGTGCAAAATAGATTATTTTATTAAACAGATTTATAAATAAATTTAAATTATGCTTCTCTCTTCTGCTCAGGTGTCTCATTAAAGAGAGAGGAAGCTACTTTCTTGGTAAGTCTCTTTTCACACACCCCTGTAAAAAATTATATGATCAATAAAAATTAACCATTTAAGTGAATCTGTGCAATAGTAATATTTAATATTCTACATGAAATGAAAATGCTAAACGATATGCAGTTAAATATAGAGTTAAATGGAGGATGTTAATTGAGGATGTTGGGGCTGTAAAAGTATAGAGCAAAAAAGGTTGGGGGAAAAACTGATAAAATGCAGAACAATATGTGATAGAAATGCCAAATGAATTAGGCATTATGTAGGAAAATGTGGAAAAATGTTAAAACATTTTCAAAGATTTGATTATAAAGAAATTGTTTATATTATTAATATATATAAAAAAAATCTAATACAATTAAATTTAATTTGACATATATTGGCTTATGAGCAAACATGCTTTTTAAACAATTAGCCTGAACAAGCAAAATTAAGGCAAAACATAAATGAACTGAATCTATTATGGGGACAAGAAAACATGCCGCTTACTTTTTACCATTAACTATTGAAATTTATTATCAAAACCAGCTAAACACGATTGATTATGTATAATTGCATAAATAAATGATCGATTCAATTAAGACCATTAAATAATACAATGAAATTGAATAAAAGTAAATCCTGTGAGATGATTGATCAGACTTACCCCTGTGATGACGGCACATCTGCACCAGCTCAGGGACAGCAGGAGCACAGACAGAATCAACACCCTGCTCATAGCAGCAGCGGGACACAAACACACACCACGGAACACTAAGAGCTTGATCGTTCTTTTTTTGTGTTGTTCTAATTCTCCCTATTGATCTCTATTCTGTCCTGTGGAGCTCCTGGAGGATTCAGTATGGCCCTGAGATGATTTCACTTCTCTGCTGTTCTTGTCCTCCTGTCTCAGAGCGTGGAGTCTTTGGTAACTTCTGAAATAAGGTCTGAGGTCTGACTCTGTCTCTCTCTTTCTTTCTCCATCTCTCTTTCTCTTTATCTCCCCTCGCCCCTCTCTTACCCCCACCCACCCACACCTCCGCAGGGACTTTGTCATCTCTTATGTATGACGCTGGACCGGATGATGGAGAAGAGACCTCACTGGACGTTTCACTGTAAGCATATCCTTCCTAATGACACCAGCTAGAGTAGCACATTTTTCATTGGATTTGTGTGGTTATAAATCAGCTGAGTTAAATTTAGAACAGCATTATTTGCCACTCTTTTTTTTGTCTTATATGCCCCCAAAGCCCCATCAATAAGCCTCAAGCACCCCTTCATTCTGAAATGTGCTTATATTGTCAACTCATTTTATACTGAATATCATTTAAAATAAGAAGTTATTTTACAATTTAATAAAATCACAGCTGATATATGAGTGGGAAAAAAAGGTTTACATATATTCTGGTATGAGTGTTGTCCACACTAATTTATAAGAACACACAAAACAATATTTTGTTTATTCACTTTTTATTTTATTTCCTTAAAATTACTTTTTTAAATCTATTTTTTTCTCTTTTATAGTTTTAACAAATCAAAATCTTTCCAAGTACCCCTGGGAATCACTGGAGCTCAAACCGCTATAAAATATTTCAGTAAATCCTCCAGTTTAATGTTTATAGTGTTTTATTTATTTATTATTTAGATTATCAAATGTATTTTTGCTTGCCAAAACACATTTTAAATATATGCTATGTCGCAAAAAGTTAAGCTCAATGAAATATATTTTTGAAATAAAAAATATATTTAGTTTCAACCTTCATATTATAAAATATATTTCAATATGCATTCATGTATTTTAGGGGCAAGAAAATACATTTCCAGTCTTCCAGTAGCCTCCATTTAGGCTAAAGCTAAAAACTTTGGGCTATATATACATAAGTGGTTTAATAATATTTATTAATTTTTTTAATATTGTAATACTGTATGTTCCTTGCTTATTTTTATTCAAATATGTAACACGTGTTATAGAATACAAATAAAGGTTTACATTAAATGTGACATGTGAATGTATTTTGCTGGATTGTAATGTATGGAGAGCAAAGTATATTTTTAAATGCTTTTTAAAATATATATTAATATTTTTTAAATATATTTAATATAAAAATTTATATATTTTTGGCTTTTTTTTTGTATATTTGAAAATACTTTTTTCCCCTGCCATATGGGTAATTTTAGTAGTTTAGTAGTATTTGCGTAAATTCCATAATTTATGCAACTTTTAAATGAATATTTTAGGTATATTTGTATATTTTAAAATATGACAGGATTTGTAATGATGTAAGAGCTAAGAGAGTAAGAGGAGTCTGAAATTCTCAAACAATAATTTGAAAATATATTTTCAAAATGATTTACTCTATTATCAAAAAGTAATAGTTCCTCGCACCTTCATCATCCAATATCCTCTATGCATCCGGTTTAATGCACAGCTTGTTAAAGTCATTTCAGTTTTTTCCCCGTTCCCTCATTCACTTCTCCACTAGGCACTTGTTCATTTTACAGGACTCCACGAGCCATAATTATCACCTTCTCATTTGAATCATTAGGATTCATCACCCTTTACAGTGCCAATGTAACGTCAGACTTGCAGCCAAGTTTCAGAGTACCAACACAAGTCAAGTAAGTTCATAGGAAATGAGTCATCAGCGCAAGGGGTTGACGAGAGAAACATTTATTTTTGCTTCCTGACAATATGATGCAGCTCGCAGGTAAATCACAACAAATTAAGCACTTGTCAATTCATTTGAGACGTTTAAGCCTACAGTCACTTCATGACATAATATGCACTGTCATTCACTGACAATTTCCTATTTACAAGTCTTAAATGTGCCAGTCAGGCACAGACGGTTAAAAGCATTCGACATCATGTCCTCTCAAGCCTGAAAACTTCCTTGACCCAGCAGTAACAAGAGTAATTACATCTCATCATGGACGCATAAGCCCTACTCACTACAAACAGTATGTTTCACATGAAGTGACTCTTTAAAAATAAGGACTCTTCAATTTCTCGTGTCAAGTTCAACCTGGTCTTGTCTTTCTGCTTTTGCCGCCATAAGGTCATCGGAAAGGCCTACAAGGCATCGCTGCGCCCGCGGAAATTCACACAAAGCTCTGCAGTTTTATGCAGAATTGGAACGCCTTCCATTCATAAAAGCTGTTAGCATGTTTGTTTATAAGTATTTTAATCGTGCTTTCAGCTAACAATACATATGACATCTTACATGGCCTTATAAAAGCCTTATACAGGCATCTTATAAAGTCCAGCACGCTCTTTTTATCAGTGTCAGAACTAACAAATGAAAATGTGGATATAGCCTGTATGAACTGCTGATCATCAAAGCCCTAGGGATGGAGATACGTGATGAAACGCAGCTATACAGAATCAATGAGCTTACTTGAAATTATAGCTAAATAAAATATCCGACTTGACGGCAATTAGAGTGAAGGATAGCGGGGTGGAAAATGTCAGTCCTATCTGTTGGGATTTGATTTACGTTTAGCGAGAGCATGAAAATGCCATTGGTTAGTCAGCAGTGCATTACTTGACTGCAGTGAAAGTGATGGATGTCACTGACGCCCAGGCCACATAATTACATTGCAACTTTTTGCCCTGTCAGCAGACCAACTTGGCTCTAACTGCACAGGACTGGGAAGAAATCATCAAGCGTTGCCGGCAGGGGAGAATCCAAGTTAGCTAAAAGAGCCTGAAAGCTGTTAAGCATAACTTCATAATAAATGCAGTTTGAAAACTGAGCCAAAAAAGGAAAGAAAATTGTTTAATTGTTTAAATTAAATTGAATTTTAAATTCAATTATTAATGCATAGCCTATAATTTTTTATATTAATATTCACTCAGTAATTATTGATAAATTATTTATTTATCCTGCACACACTAATAACGTGCCATTTTTGACAAAATAATCCCATTAATTAATGTCTGTCTTTTGCAGTAGCAGTAGTATGTCAAATGGACCTCATATCAAAACTGTGATATCCATAAATAAAAGGCTGCATACATTCTGGAAACATTAACCTGATCGGATGGGCTCTAGAGGGACAGAAATGGTCGATGTTGCTCTGCCTCATTCCATTTGCATGTATATTGAGTTCAAAAACCTGATTTATACTATACACTCTGCACAAATTGTGTAGTGGTAAGCTGTACAGTATATGCTACACAGTTATATAAACATATATGTTATATAATGGATATGACCAAAAAAACTTTTTTTTTTTTTTTTTTAGAAGTGATTCTTAAAACAGGCTCACAAAACACAAAGGAGAGTAGCCTACCTCACTATCATGAGTTCAAAATGGAGAAGACAGCATTGGTTTCTGATAAAGAACTTCTGCTCAAATACAATTGATGGTGAGGAGCAGTACTGGTCTTTTATTCTGCTCTTGGTCAGAGCATGAGGTTGTCTAGACTCTAGAGAGATATCAACAGTGAACATTCACACATTCCCCTGGGAGTTCTCATTGACAATGACAGCTAAATGTTAGCCGGATGTATTTGCCCTTTAAAGAATTTTTTAGGAATGTATTATTTATAAAAAAGGACATAGAGGAAGAAAAAGATGTCAATCTAGCCACTGAATCATATGTGATCATCCACTAAATAACAATACAGTGCTGCAGTCATGACGTCAAAACACTGACTAATTCACTATGAGTTCCCTCGAGATTTTCCTATGGGTTTTAATAAGGTTTTTTTCAATTGATGTATAAAACAAGGTCTGTGCACTGTGCAGGGCTGTCCTTAGGGCAGTGCAACTGGTTCGGTCGCACGTTTCTGGGTTTTGACATCACGGTTGCAGCACTCCATAGCCCTGCAGGAACATCCATCTTAAGCTGGTTGCTGTGTTTTAGTACATTGCAGCTGGTTTGTGGTTCAAGCTGGTAATAAATCACTTTGGTCCAGCAAAAACTAAGCTATCAGCTCGTTAGTTCTCCTGTCCTATGTCTGTTAAACTGTATCAAATTAATATTTATTTAAACTAAAACCCATAATGCATTACAGGCTACACAAAGAGGGTTAGGCTGCTAACAGTATTTTCTTATTTACTGTCAAAATTAGACTAGAGCTAGATGGCGCTAAATCATATTCGCTTTTAGTATTTTTTCCTTAGAGGGCGCCGTAGCGTGTAATGTCAGCTGACACCCCGGAAGTAATACAAATAATAAATATCGCTGCCACTCTCTCCTCAATATTTAATATTTCGGTTAATTTAAAGACATTATTAAAGCCGCTATTATGGAGGGTGCACTGGAGCAGCATCTTGATGATACGTACGTTAAAATGTATCATTCCCCCCCAAAGCATAGGCTATATAACATTTTAGGTGTTGCTTTACTAATCTGTTTTCTTCCACTAGAATGAAAAATCCTGCCATTGTTGGGGTTTTGTGCACAGACGTTCAAGGCCATAATCTAGGATGTAAGTATCATTCTGTCTCATTTATCCACTAGGTCATGATGACAGGATAACTGTATTTGAGCAGTTTGCATGTGCATTTTTCCCCAGCAACATTCATGTTTACGTAAGTGTACAAGGAAAGGTTTAGCCAAAAATATAGATAAATGCAAAAGTTCTGAATGTGGTTCAATTCAGTTTACTTTCATCAAACTGGGCATGTTATTATTTAAAATTAACAACTGGGTCAATATCACTGTAGGGTGCCTTTTGGTGCCCTGTACATAAGTAACTCATTTGCCATGATAACTTAACATAAAAATTACTATGAAAGGGTGTGTTATATTAGGCTAGGTTTTTATTTTTACAACAAAAGCATTACTTGGCTCTTTAGATACATTTTCTAGATTTTTTTTTAGTTTTGTGTAAGAGGATGTGTGTTATTTTGCTATGTCCCATGCACTGCTCATTAAATTTGAATGATAGTAGAATATTACATCAAACTACGCCTTTGTTTTTTTTTTGTTTGTTTTGAATATGCGCCCTCTAGCGAAAACTTACATATTGTGCCTTTAATAAAAAAGAAGAGTTTGTCCATGTCCCTTGAATGGTTGTCCACCCTGTCATATTGGGGAATTCGCCCCTTTAAGAAAAGGCCATCCCCTTTAGTGACATCAGGCCAACAGATTTTTTTGTCTCTTCAGTGGCGGGAATTTCAACGGCTGAGGTTAATAAGTTGGTGACTTTTCATTTGACAAATTTTGTTTGTTTGAGTTTGCTTACTTGCTTTGCCAAAGCTTAACATGTCCACCCTGTCGGCATAAAATATGCCAGAATTGATTAGAATACAGTATTTTCAAAATATGTACTGTGGGTACGGAAAGTATTCAGACCCCCTTCAATTTTTCACTCTTTGTTATATTGCAGCCATTTGCTAAAATCATTTAAGTTAATTTTTTTTCCTCATTAATGTACACACAGCACCCCATATTGACAGAAAAACACAGAATCGTTGACATTTTTGCAGATTTATTAAAAAAGAAAAACTGAAATATCACATGGTCCTAAGTATTCAGACCCTTTGCTCAGTATTTAGTAGAAGCAC